GAAGCCAAACTCTAGAATAGAAATTGCTCATTCGACCAAATTGAATTACGCCAAAGTACATTGATAATATTTTCTTTCTCCTAAGGTTTAACTGTATATAATCACTTTTTATTTTTTCTTCCAATTCAACCCCACGGTTGGTTAGCTAGAAGCTTTCCTTAATAAAACAGCATGAAAAAGCATGGAAGGTCAAATCTCCAGACACCTCACCACCTACATTTCCAGCATCCTGTGACCTGATTGGAATTTTGACATTTTTGGATTTAGACACTAGGTGATATTGTTATTACCAAACCTATGTGAGGTCTAACCTTGCATTTTAGTATAATAAGACTAACTCTTAAATGGGAGCAGCTGTTTAATGGGTCAGTCTGTAAAATCCCACAGCTTTTGAGGTCAGCTGGTGGACTTGTGTTTTTAAGAAATTACTATTTGCAAAATACTTTATTAGTCTAACTGTGGAGAAAAATGTATACACATATAAGGAAAAACGAGAGCCATCGTGCATTTTTAATAAGAGAATAATAAGAATCCCAACATTTGACAATTTTGTGATAAGTTGTCTTCAGATTTTTAATTCTACAGTTAAGTGAATTCTGTTACCTTCTTTCCTTGATATCACTTTTGCATAGAAGTCTTGTAACTACTTACAGAGTTTTGCTATCATATTTTTTGCATTTGGGAACAAAGCTTCTTGGAAAGTTAGAGTGTGATTTGTATCTAATTGCAGCACACCAAACAATTTCCATCATAAGCGATCTACAGGCCTCTGAGTTAGGAGTGAGGCTGATATATCGGTTTCTTGCCATCAGAAGTTACCAAATAGGCAAAAATGTTGATGATGGTACACACAAGGAAAGTGTTCACTGTGACTAATAGTTTTGAAGAAACAATCTTCATGTCATAGTAGATAAAGCTGTGAGAGAGCCATGACTTCCAGGGTCAGTGGTAAAGCTGAGGGTAATTCTGGCTGCATGTGGTACCAATAACGAACAGAAAGACTGAAACATGTCGTCAGGAGGTCAGGTTTTGGGGGTTGCCATTTAAAAAGCTTTGGGGTGGGGATAAATTATTCCAGTAGAGAAGCTCCACCCACAGAGCATGTGCGTGTTTCATCCTCATTCCTGCAGAAAATCTGAGTATCAGACAAAGCTGGTAAGATATTTGAACACACACACACAGAACGACTTAGTATTTCTTCGGTGAGTGTACTCACCAATAAGGCTAAGAAAATCTGAAACAGAAGTGGGTGGGCCCCATATAATTTTATCAGACTTGGTGTCTCTTCTTTCTCAGCTACCACTCCACTCAGTTCCTTCATCTGACGTCAGCCAGGTAGTATTGGATTGAAAAATTACCCTAAGTTTCCCAGTGAAAGATTGTCTTCTCCATGGAAAACAAATCCGAATGGCATAGAGAAGACAGGCTCAAGTATCCAATACCTGGTTCTTTCAAAGCCCATTAAGCCTGGTGCTTAGGAGGGTACCTCTCTGCATGTCTGTGTAACTGCCTCCTTTGCTCATTTCTTAGTCTCTTTCGTGTTGCTCACTTCTTAGTCTCTTTCGTGTTGCTCACATGTTGACATTAAGTGGGAGCATTTTGGCTGATGCTAGCACATAAAATTGATGGTTGTGATGGCAAGTCTTGAAGAATGATTGAAGAAGAATGATGAGTAAGAGCTCTGAAAATTTGTAAATTCCAGTAACTGGGATTTTTTTTTTTTATAAACAGAAAAAATAGTTATTTCTAGGAAGTACTTTTCAGTATTTTCCAGAGTTAGGAGATGGTGAGGAAGACAAGCAACGAGGATGTGGAAGTTAAGTGATAGGATGGCTGTGGCAGAGTTTGATCATTCCTGGGGGTAGATTTGTTCAAGTTGAACCTGCAATTTTGGATAGAGATGTCTTGGTCAGTGTATCACAACTGGCCTTCTGGAAAAAAAAACCCACAGAAGCGAATGTACTTAAGTTGTACCTTACTCAGGGAACACAGTGGATATACAAACCAAATGCTAGTTAACACCAGTAGCAGTTTTGATGAGTGTATAGGGACAATGGCAGGTAAAAAGTCCACTAGAAGGGACATATAGAACACAAGACTTAAGAGAATGAGTTTTAGAGTCAGAAAACACCTGCAGTAAAATCCTACGGCCGAATCATTTACTGAACTTCTCTGAGACGTAGTTTTTCTGGCAGGTAGAATAACATAGTACTTCCTTCATACACAAGGAGAAAGCAGAACCAAAAATCAAGTCCTGGTTTGCGGCGTTTGTGATTTCCATGGTGTACTCCCGTCATGGCTGATTTCAGATCACCAGCGTGATGTCACTGAGTGTGGAGCTGGAACCATGTGGTATTCCCACTGTATGTACAGATACTCTAGGCACAGATAACCTCAAGAGCATGGATACTAGTACAGTTCAGTAAAATATTTAGGAAGTGATGAGTTTTGAGTATTTATTACCGTTTAAAAATATGATTTATTTAATTAAAAGTTTATATACTTTGATTTTTAAGAATAGCTGTGCTTATAACCTTAACCACCAGTGTATAAAATCCCTGAAAAGTTGACAATTGGCTTCCATGAGCCCGGAGCAGACTCCTGCACTCCACTGGCTCTGGCGAAATGCATATCTGCTCTTTGGTCGAGGAATAGGGTGTCCATGGGAGCCTCACTGGACTTGACTTAGACCCAGAAACTAGCCTTGTTCGCCCTAGTTCACAGATGTTAACATTTACACAATTAGCATCTTCAGTTTAAAAACAACAGTGGCAGAGATTCCCTCAAGCTATACCGAAAATCCCGAGATCTGCCAAACCTTACCCAGATGCCAGCAGCCAATAATTGATGATGGGATTAGGAAGGAGAGTGAAGAAATGTTACTTGTTAATTTATGATTGTGAAGACCACATACCACGACAAGAAACATTATGCATAAATGAAAGGATTCCTGGCTTGGAGAGAATTCACATCTTCCGGCCTTTCTTCTGCTCCCTGTAGCTCCACCTAAGGGCTTCCTATTCACTTTTTCCTAATCGAAAGCCCATCAATGAAGTGTCTTCACAAAAATTCTGGCAACTGTGGAGTTCTCAGGAATCAGCAGTCGACGAAGGCATTCCAGTACCATGTCATGCAGGCTGTTAAAGAAATCCAGCCCTGGTGATAATGTGTATATTCATTCTGTGTAAATGATTAAGTTTAAAAAACCATACAATGAATCATGGTAGCAAGGCCAGACTTGCTTTGATTAACTACACTGGTATAATGAAACCCAACAGAGCAATCACTGAAACATTTCGCGCCAAGTGTAAATCTTCTTGAACTCGGGGGAAAAAAAAGCATGTTAGGCAATGAGAGGAATACAGGCGTAGAATACAGTCGCGTTTCACATAATGAGAGTAGAGGCGGTTGTAAAGAAAAGGGAATGTTACAAAGTTGTTAGCTGTGTTTGGCAAGAATGAGTCATTTAAAAAGTGTCAATCATGATAATCCAACATATTTTTAATCTAAAGGTCAATAGAAGCAGCTTCTCAGGTGGTACAATAGTTACGCCAAATATGAAAGCAAGTGGTTATAAGATGATTTCAAGTGTTACTACTGTACCATAATGTGTCTTGGAGAATTAATCTCAGCTCTAAATTGAAGAGCAAGGATTGATTAGGTAGAAGAATTTTTATTAAAAAATGTTCTAAAATAGCTGGTGACACTCTCATTCCAACCAAAGTGCTCAGTGGAGTTCTTATCATTCAGACGTGGCTCAGCGAAAGCTATAGGGTGTCTTCTGTGATATAATAGTTATTTTTCTCTAGAGGGTAGTTCTTCATCTCCTAGTGCTGGTGTCTACAGAATGAAAACTCTTCCCTTACAATAGCCTACAACTCATTTCCTCAAAGGCAAGAGTAACGTATGCCTAAGAATCATAAAGTCAGTGTTCTCTGATGGAATGGCCAGTCCTTTACGAGCACGCAGAACTATTCCAACCCCTGCATATTTTCAGTTTTGTCCAGCTTTCAAAGGTACTTCAAATGTGCTTGGGTCATGTTGTACACTTAAGCATTAGAAATAGTGCGTGAGAGAAAAGTAAAATTGCGTCCTTTCTTTAAGGTTTATGGGAACATGTGGCCTTCCTTACAGGGAACACAATCGCTACCTTGGCAGTATTAGGCTTCCGTCTCGTGAGCTTCATATGTATAGGTTAAATATATGGGAAGTTTTGTAAGGCTATAGAAATTGTGTCAGAGAAAACAATCCATGAGAGGTCTGAGCCATATGAAGACCACTGGATACATTCATTTTCATGATAAAGCTTTTTTCAAAGTTATTAGATTGCATAATTCAATCTATGTTATCACAGGGGAGCTTGGAACCAACCATTGCTGTAGATTATAGAAATAATTCTATATCCACACAGTCGGGTTACAGAAAAGCTCACCCAGAATTGGTTGGAGACTAGCAGCAGGATATTCTCTTCTGTTGAACCTCATAAATCTAATGGATAATTTATTTCTGTTACCACATGAATTAAAACCACCTTCATATTTAAAAATACCTCACACAGGCATGGATATATATATACACACACATTATATATGCATATATATACACACACATATATATGTCACTCTTCCTGGTAATCTCTCAAGAGCAAATTTTACATAATTTGTCAGTTAAACATTTATGGAGCTTTAGTTGTATTCTCAGAATGCTTTTGGTGGTTTGGTCAAAGGAAACAAAAGAAATCAAAGATGAAGGAACCACTCTTTCACATTCTGTGCTTTTCTTAGGAACTTTGTCTATGGGAGAAAACGACTACATCGAGATTATTTTAAATGTGCTAGGAGACAGACATTTGGACCCTCTAGTACTTCTTGTTACTTTACTTTCCCTTTACTTCTTTTCTCCCTAGATTATTATTATTTTTTCTAATTAAAGTATAGTTGCTTTATAATGTATTAGCTTCTGGTGTACAGCATAGTAATTCAGTTATACATATACATACATTCTTTTTCATTATAGGTTATTACAAGATATTGAATATAGTTCTCTGTGCTATACAGTAGGGCCTTGTTTATCTATGCTGTATATAGTAGTGCGTATCTGCTAATCCCATACTCCTAATTTATCCCTTCCTCACCCCCTTTCCCCTTTGGTAACCATAAGTTTGTTTCCTATGTCTGTGAGTCTCTTTCTGTTTTGTGAATAAGTTCATTTGTGTCATTTTTTTAGATTCTACATATAAATGATATCATTTGGTACTTGTCTTTGAGCTACTTCTTAGTATGATAATCTCTGGGTTCATCCATATTGCTGCAAATGGAATTATTTTGTTCTTTTTTATGGCTGAGTAGTATTCCATTGTGTATATATGTGTTTGTGTATGTTTAGGTGGGAAAAAGTTATCATCTATGTTAATATCATTATTAATATTAGATTTGCTAATGTTGGCAAAGCTATATTAATATTACTCAATATTATTTTACTTTTCTTAAAGACTGGAGATGTCTTTGATGACATTATATGTATATGCTTATATCTCTATACTTTTACAGATACCCTGTATGTTATGGCATGTATTTCTTGACAGTTTTGTTTTTTCCTTGCATCATTGCAATTTCTAGGCCTGGCATGACTATTAAAAAATCTTCAAATGGGCAATGGTTGTAAATGTAGAAATATTCATACTTGCAGTACAGAAAGGGGACATTTCAGAAATATTCTAGATTGTTTTTCTAAAAGGCCAACTCACAAACTCTGCAGATTTATCCATTTCAGGCTCACTGACTACAATACAGAAATATACTTGGCAAAAATCCAAGGACTGGAGACATTTAAAAGCAGCATATTTTCATAAATCCCTTGCTTTTCCCAAACACCATCAGTTACTTTTCTACCACTCATTGTATAAAATCAGAAGAGAGGAGAGAAGAGATAGGTTAAAAAGTGTTGACCTTGGCCTTTGCAGTCTGTTACCCAGCAGAGCAGACGTGGACAGGGAGGATGGCCAAAAGAGAGAGACAATGAAACCAACTCCTAGACGGGGGTTCACTTATATTGACTTTCACAAAACACGTCTGCCCTGTCATGCCAATGAAGTTCTTAAAATTGAAATTTAAATGTCTTCCTGGCTCTGAGAAAACAGTTGCAGGACAAGGCCAGCCTCCCTTGCCTTTTGGGGGAAAGCCTTCACTTTCATGGAGTGAAACTTCAAAAACTGCACTGTTCAGAGTCTCTTTTACAGACTTAAAGCACATGCTTTTCAGAGCTCTGTTATAATGTCTCTCTTTTCTAGAAACAGTCTTCCCTTATCCATGGGGGACATGTTTCAAGACCCCCAGTGGATGCCTGAAAAGCGGATAGTACCGAACCCTATATATACGATGTTTTTTCCTACACATACCTACCTACAATAAAGTTTAATTTATCAACTAGGCACAGTAAGAGACTAACGACCATAACTAACAATGAAATAGAGCAGTTATAACAATACTCTGTAATAAAAGTTATGTGAATGACGTCTCTCTCAAAATACCTTATTGTACTGTAGTCGACCTTCTTGTGATGATGTGAGATGATAAAATGCCTACATGATGAGATGAAGTGAGGTGAATGATGTAGGCATGACGTAGCGTTGGGCTACTATTGACCTTCTGATGATGTGTCAGAAGAAAGGCCATCTGTGTTGGGTTGTCCTGGATCATAGAGCACGTTGGGCAGTCGATGATGATGGTTGGGATGGAGCCGGAGGGCTTGGGCCAGCATGAGATTTCATTAGGCTACTCAGAATAGCATGTGATTTAGAACTTATGAATTGTTTACTTCTGGAATTTTCCATTTAATGTGTTTGGACTGCAGTTGACTGCAAGTAACTGAAATACAGAAAGCACGGATAAAGGGGGACTACTACACTTCTCTTTCAAATAAACGTTATTCCTCTCTGAGAGGCTACAGTTGCAGTTGTAATCTTCGTGCAATGTTTGCATTTGACCTGGCTTGTAAGCATTACAAAGTGGATGTTGGGAAAATCTTCTGCGTGAAAAGTATTACAATGTTTGGTGCTATCTTAATTGAGGAGGTGCAAATTTTATATAGGTGTCCTATCATTGCTGAAGAGAAAGACATGTTTCTGTATAATACAAACCAGTTCCCATCTAGCGTTCAAGAGCTGAAAACTTGACGATGAGAGTTGAAGTATCGTGTCTGTAGGCTGATTATCAGAAATGTGAACAAACTTGACCTGGGTCCCTCTGCAGTGCAGAAAGAGAAAATTTTCAAAGTGCTTGAAAGTCACACACACATAAGAACTCTCTGTTTGATTTGCATGGTTTTGAAATGGATATTTTTGGTTTATTTCTCAATTTATGTTCCTTGGTGGGCAAATCAGTCTCTCTCCTGCTCCACCTCATGAATATATGTGCCTTAGAAAACAGAAGACAGAGGTCACTCTGCAATCTGCTGACCTGAGATAGGGAGGGAGGGAGAGAGGGACAGGCAGTGGACAGACAGAGTCAGAACTGTGTCTGGTGCTCCTACCTTCAGAGCTTTATTGGATGGACTAAGAAGTCTGGTTTGTCCTTTGAGAAGGAGACACTGGATCAAAACTCAGGGGCCTCTGTGGTCAAGCAAAGGAATCCTGCATCAAAAACTAGGAAAGGAGAGAATCAGGGAAGAGGGTTCGAGAAGTCCGACCAGCTACCGCAAAGAGCCTGAGTCAAACCAAAGGAGGCTGCTGAAATGCTGGATTGGACCAGGTTTTAAACAGTTCGTCTCTTCATCCCCCACCCCCACTACCCATGAAGGTCATAGCAGCTTTAGAGAATAAAGGTCGGCATTTTCTCTGCACATCTGTGTTTATTGTGAATACTCTTGTGACTTCAGGACACTCTGTTACAGTGAAGCATGGAGGAGACTGCAACCTCTTCCCAAGTTTGTCATCCTTTCTTCTCGTTATTCCCAGCACCTACGATGTCACCCTCTTCTTCCCCCATCTATCATCCAGTCACTGTCCCTCTTATCAACTGAGTTCCACTTGTTATATTTGTCCTTTTTTAAGGCTTTCTCTGACCCACACTCTTGCCACTATTTCAAGCCTGCAAAATCTCCTTAATGGTTTAAATTCTATTTATTATACAATTTCTCAGTTAGCATTGGAGATATTCATTCAGAGATGTTCCTCCCAGACTGTAGAGGAGGAACCAGGATCTAGGAGTCATCTTCCCATCAGAAAAGGACCAGGTGTAAACACATAAATGATCGCGCGATGGATGCATGAATGTTAGAGAAGTTATCCACACTTTGCTTCTGGCATTTTATATTTGTTGGTGCAAATGACCTTCTTCTGTCATAGTTTGATAGCTAAGAAAACATAGCTTAATCAATAGCTTTCAAACCAAAGAATACAGGAACAATCTGACATGTAATCTGTGCTATTCTTCTGACTCTGAACACCTGTCCTATGTTCAAAAGAGTAGAGAGGATATTACAGAGCACAGTAAATAAAAGTCTCTGATGTGCTCTAATAATCCTAAAACTTCGTTTTAGCCACTTAATCCCTTTATCAATTTTTTAAAGCATTGTTAGCCTTCCTGTTGATCAGATCAATGAGAAAAGAAGAAGGAGAAGAAAAGGAATAGACAGTAATTGAGTATAATTCAAGTTATATACATTATCTTATTTATGCCTTGGGACAATCCTGAGAAGTAAGAATTTTGCCGCTGCTTCCAAAAAGTTTGTCTTCCTTTGTTCTGGTTATCATCCCCATGTCAAATGAAAGAGGATTAGAAAAGTTTAGTAACTTGACATCACACAGAGAATGAAGAGAGGAATTGGAATTAAACACTAGTCTCCTAATGCCCAGTCTGATTTTCTTCCCCCTGGACAACGTTTCCTGCAACTAGGAGCATCATAGGATAGAGATGCAGTCATGCAACCTTTAAATATAAAGTGCTCACATCCTCCATGGACGTGCTGAGAGACACTTGAAGAGACTGCTTTTCTGGGTTGCAAATCTGGGTTGCAAAGCCACCAATGTACATCAAACAAAAGTGAGTTGGTAGCAAGTACTTTGCTCTGGAGAACACATCTACACACCTTCTAGCTTGGGTGACAGTTTTCATCTCTAGCAGTTTCACAGGTTTGACCGCTTACTTGAATCTGTTGCATAAGACACACACACACACACACACACACACCCCAAGAGCCTCTGTTGTTCCCAAGGACCATAAGTTTGTGCTGGTGAAAGCCCACAGAGCACAGCAGAGGGCCTCCGAGCAGACAGCGAGGTGAGGGTTGCTTTCAGCTTCCCTATAGAAGGAAGAATGCACATGGGCTGCATTTTATGCAGCGGCTGTAACGGGGGAGAGTAACCCTCTCTCCATCAGGAGAATGAGTGAGCCCCTGCGTCTCACTGGGTGATTTAAACAGAAACTACGTCGTGAAGCTGACAGTCTAAACTGGAACTCAAGTACAACAGGTGCCAGATTTCCCTTTTAGATTTTTTAAATTTTTGGACAGAACTACACATTTTGTGAGCCAGCTGCGCTCATCCTGAAAGGGCTGGTGCCCTCCCCAGGGGGAATAAATACTCCACTATTGTGAGTCTAACAGAGACATCTACTGGCTGAGTCCTGAGCTTCCAGACTGGTCTCTGCTGGACCCTGTAGTTGACCAACCCCTCATCTCTGACAGCTTGCACAGAAATGGAAATGATAATAATAATGATTATATTTGTTCATACAGAATTACTCATTGCACATTTGGTGCACCTGTGGAGATTGAAAAATTCACAGAAGTCTGGGTGGGCAGGTTCAGTAAAGTATCAGCAGTTTGCATGTTGACTTTAAAAATTTCTTTGCCACATCTGCCCAAGGAATGGTTCCCCTATATTCAGGTTCCCTATCTAAACAAATCAAATATGAAGTTCAAATTTGAGAGTAGGGCATCATGGATAACCATTTTTCTACCTTAGAGGACCAGCAGATTAAAGAGAAGTGTGTGTGTAAATTACGAATTCCAGCAAAATAAATCCAGCAGTAAATACTGAAGCGCCCCAGTGGTGGTTTATTTTCATATTAAGCATCAATTTATGGGGCAAATATAAGATACTGATGGATCTCTATTGGAGGGAGAGACAGTACTCATGAGCAGAACCCCCCAGATAATGTTGTCTTCTAGCCGCTGGGCTTTGTGTCTGCTCCTCCTGAGATCAGGCCAGTATCTGCAACATTAGGACCAGGTCCCTATAAGTCAGCATGAACAAGCCCCCTGATCTTTACTGGGAGGGATCATGAATTAGGGGACTAAATATAGGCAAAGAAATCCAATAACTAAACCCTCACAGCCAAGACATAAGCAAATATAAATCCCGCTTGTGTTATTATAATGCCTACCAACCTAACTGAGAACACATTCATTTTAAGCTAAATAAATTACTGCTACAATTATCTGACCTTGAGGTCACCTCCTCTAGGAGATGGCCAGCACTTGTATTAACTGTTCCACACTTTACTGTAAGTGGCCTCAGCCAATCAATGCCAGATAAATGCTGTTAAAATATGCATTTAATTAACTCAGTTCTTCATTTATTTGCTACTTTAGCCTAGGGATGAAGAAGAAAGTGAAGTTAAAGTCTGCATATTCTCAAGTAAGACTTCAGAATGAAGAGTTTTTCCTTCTCAGTCAAAGCACTGTCTCCCTTGTTAATCTGGCCAAGAGAGCATCCCTTAGACCTTAACAGAACAGTCCATCCATCTGAAGAGTGGGGCTTTGCTAGTGCCATTTATAACCCCACACTCAAAGAAGTAACTTTCCGTTTTCCATCAAGAGATGGACTTACCAGATGTCTTTTGCACTGATGATTTGATCCCTCTTGGACTGTGAGCAATTATTCTAGGAGCCTTCTGATCACAAGGATACAATGGCAATTATATCACTAATGTATGGATTCATGCATTACCTAACTGTTTTCAAGAAACAGCCATTGTTTTGGGCTGTATTTTGGAATATTTGCCTACTCCTTCCTCCCAATGTTATGCAAAATAGCCGAACAGCAGTCCCTGGATAATACGCTTCTTACCAATCTCTTCTTTTGGTTTGGCTATTGCTGTTGAAGGCACATTATTATTCTCTGAATATTTATCTGCTTCTCCCCCATGTCCTAGATGTGTTAGCCAACACCATGTGGTACTGGGCTGCCAACAGATGTGATGTGTGTTACTTCAGGCTGAAACATTTAAGAGCTGATGCACAACCTTCTACCTCTCTCTTGTGGTTCCATGATGATCCAGAAGGTGGAAATGATACAGATACAAAACAAAACAGAAGCAGCACAGTTTGCTGGGTCATGGTAGAGAGGAAAGCAGCTGTGAGGGTCCTCTGACTCACACCTCATTTTACATGAGCAGAAAAGAAACCTTTGTTGTATTAAACCACTGAGATTTCAAGATTTGTTTATCACAGCATAATCTAGCCTATGCTGACAAATATAATTGGCTGCTATGGTAATAGACAAATCCATAATCTGTAGTACTAAGTAACCATCTAAACTATAGTAATTTGGATCTAATTTGCATGAATATTAATTCTTTTAAACAAGAGAGGAAAATGATGATAGTCCACAGACTTGATACCTTTAGAATAAGCCACTTGTTCATTAATTTTTAATGAGAAACATTCATTATTATGAAATCTTTGACAAGACTTTGATTTTGGGGGGTAAATGATGACCATAATTAAGCTCCTCATAATGAACACAGCAATTTTTAAACAGTACAATTTATATAATGTGTCTCCTCTGGGAGGCTTAGTTTTCTTAATAAAAAGAAACAGTGGATATATGACTAGTTTTCATAATACATGAGGGTTTGTAGTCATTATTATATGCATCTCCACTTCCATTCATTCATTCATTGCATTGAAACATAGCCTTTCTGCACTTTTTGGCAGCATTAAGTTTACTTAGTCCAAGACTAAATTTTAAAAAAGGAAACTTTAAGGACATTATCGAATGCTGGGTTACCAGCAACATAACTTTTTCCCTCTAAAGGGCTTTCTTGTTATGGTTGGCTTAATGTTTTATTTATCTATGTCATTTAAAATCTTTTTAATTCTGTCATTCTTTTATGCAGCCCACAAACGTATTCACATGGACCATAAGTCAGTCATTCATTAAAATACTGAAACTATTTTTCAGTAGCATTTGATATCAGAAAAAAAAAAGAATAAAAATAGAAATCCCTCTTGTTTGCTCTATTAGAGAAGCCCTCATGGGTTACATCTTGCCCTAGATCACAGCAGAGAAAGTTTCCTAGGTGATGCTTATCTACACAATAATCTTTCTGTAGTTCCCTAGTGGAACTGTTCTGGGAACTATTAGCATCATTGCCTTGCTCAACTCATCTGCAGTAAAGACAAACAGGTGCAGACACATTGGAAGGTAAAGAGGCCCAAACTGGTCAGGATACAGCTGACGTTAACCTATTGTCCCCCTGTTGTCCTACCAAGTCGTATGTGAAGTAGCATTCCGAATCCCAGTGCATTTTTGCAAAGTCATTGTTTTCATTTGCTGTGTCCTCTAGGTAAAGCTTGGTCCCTTTGAAGAATTGTACTAGTTGTATCCTTCTCTGATCTCAATTTGATATTATAATCCTTCTTTCACCAACACTACTTTGCATCCCCAGGGCCCCTGAGCCTACCCTGTTTTTTTCCCATAGCACTTTTCACTTTTAAAAATACTATATTCTTATTATATTTGCTATTTATTGTCACTACCACACTAGAATACAAGTTCTATAAGGGTAATATTTGTTTACTACCTTTGGTTCATTGATGTAAACGTTGGCACATAGAAGGTATTCAGTAAGTATTTTCAAGTGAATGAATGAGTGAATGAATGGAAGTTTCCCTGGTTCAATCAAAAATATTCTAAGACTTATTTTCCTAACACCCTCTTTTCCCCTTCCAAATTCCATTTTGCCTCTGGCTACCTTGTTCCGGAATTTCATTCATTCTTCAACTGACCTTGTCAGCTTATTACATAACTGACCTCCTTCACAATTCTCGATTTCTTGAACCCTGACTCAGTGTCTTCTTTTTCTGGCATGATGTCTTTCTTGGCAAAAGATCTAGGTAATTTTCTATGTGTATTCCCATGGGCAGCCCTGACTAGAAATAGTGAGGTCTTATGGATGAATTTTGTTGAACATTACAAATTTTGCTTAACTGAAATTACTTAAAACCCAATTTAAAAATTATTTTTAAAAGACTTTGTCTTGTAAAAGTAATACATGCACAGTGTGATTTAGAAAAGAAGAAAATAGTTACCCATAATTCTACTATGAGATTAATCTCACAGTTCATATTTTAAATTGCATTATTTATTGTTTTTCCTGTAACTGAACTAACTGCTTAGGTTAAAACTCACCAATTTATTTATAAAAACAGAGTTCAAATGATCACATTTTATAAAATCCTCCAAAGCTTACAAATAGATACAACAAGGAAAGGGATAAGAATAAGATGCCTGAAATTAGGAAAAAGAGAGTTTTTCATAATGAAGGGCAGACCTGCAAAGAGTTCTCTGACTCTAAATCACTATTAACCAAGTTGAACTTGTTCATATACAGAACTCGTATCTATAAAAAGAGTTTTGGGTGGAAATGATTTCAGAGAAAGTTAAGAGAAACTAAATTTAGGGCATATTAATCATACTGTTCAGTACTGCTAGGATGACCAACTATTGGTCTCCTTGGGACTGAGGACTTTCTTGGGATACTGGTCTTCCAGTGCTGAAACCAAGACAATCCCAAGCAAACTGGAGCAATTTGGTTACCTGGTCAATAGAGATGTTATTATGAATATCTTTAGGAGTAAATCTAAAATAGAATAAAATAAAATAAAATAAAATAAAATAAAATAAAATAAAAACCTACCACAGAATAGGATAAAAAGAGGGACCGTATCTCAAAAGTAAATCTTTGGAATCTTTTTTTTTTCTAATGGAGGTACTGGTGATTGAACCCAGGACCTCATGCATGTTAAGCATGCTCTACCACTGAGCTATACCCGCCCCCTCAAAAGTAAATCAAAAGGCATGGTGGCCCAAGCTGATGTCAAGACTGCAGAAGCACCTCCATCTCATTCAACTGTAGGAGATGAGTGCTTATCAAAGTCTTTACATCTGCCAGGCAAGCATCAGCAATAAGGGAAGAATGTACTTCCAATGGTTTGGATTAACTGACAAGCAGGAAAAGCCCACTCTTCTCGAGACCCTGACAGGAACAGAATGGTTAGCTGTGACATGCAAAGCAGGCCTTGGACTGACTCAATCTTAAGTCAACTGAAAGAAAGAAAAGGATTGCACATTTTCTACCAAAATTGTTTGAGCAACCATGCCGTCCCTGGGTGATGTCTAATATGAAGGCAAATGAAAAGGGACATCTCTGAGGACTCAGAATGCCTCCCTCTTTGCCTTTGTTCACTAATTTCCATTAAGTAAGGAACTTTCAGAATGTTCCACCTAGGAAATCAAGTTAAAAGAAACTAAGGGAAAAACAAAGCTAGGGGAAAACCCCTTGGCTTTTGAGAGAAAAAGATAAATGAAAAATTGAAATTGAGATTTTCCCAAAAGTCAAAATTTCAAGGGTTAAAAGAAAAGAAGCTTATAGGGGTTATGACACTGTCATTACTAAAAGCTTTGTAAGAATGAGGTTTTTGAAATAATCTAAACAGTAGTTTCATGTAAGATATTACTGCAGTGCTGAACACGTGCCTTTTTAAGGAAATGGGTACTTATCCACTGTGTTAAATAAGTGGTGAAACAAGAATCTCTTCAACAGAAGCACTTGTCTACTTCAGGAATTCTCTTGAATATCACAACTCTACTAGTTATACTCACAATCAATAAAATATGAACAGGAACTTAAACACAGTCTGAACGCTAAAATCAAATGGATTACCCAACCTTGCTGAGTTCAAAATACCAGTTTCCCCCTTAAGTAATTATAGCAACTCATATTTGAGTTATCACTTTCAAATTTAGTCTCCTAACCATTTTGTGATTTAGGTGTTAAGATCATTCCCATTTTACACACAAGGGAACTGAGGCCAAGGATATCTGTGGCTTACTCAGGCTTTTGCTGCTAGTAAGTTCAGGGGCTAAGACTGCACTCAGGTTTTTGGCTTTGGATGTCATCCTATAAACATAAAGCAAACTCAGTTTAATCTGATAATCTTTTGACGATTAAGGAGACAGAACCTTTTCCAAGATTATCTCTGCTTTACATTAGTAGGCGTAGAAAGTTCTGGTCACTCACTTTAGCAACTGCAGTGGCCAGAGACTTACTACTTCCTTCATGTTGAGACACTCATGAAACCTCAGGGGTTGGAGCTGAAAAATCAGTTCCAGATGGCTGTAGGATAGATACTCCTGAAGGTTCTGCTGCTGTCAAGCCACCCCAACAGAAATGTCCTCAGTACTGATAAAGCTGGAGATAACACAAGCAGGCCATCTGTCCCAGCCACATGGCTTTCAATGAGGGAAATCTCTTAGGGTAAAATGAATGAAGATTAGGTTCAGGCAAAAGAGCACCCAGGATACATTTCTGTGTGTCTGCTGGTCATTAGCTAAT